ATGTTTGATTTCAGGCTCAGGAAGCCTGTCTTACAGTTAAACAAGCTTTTGACCAGAGATTGTTTCATGTGTCTCTTAAGTACTTAAAGCATTCAGAAAGTTACTGTCAGTTTGGCCCACTGTGTATAACTGTGTATTTATTAACATCAAAGGAAGAGACTGACTTCCAGTGACCTGTGATTATCCCAAATTGTTCTGGTGTCACCCAAAAGTAGCGACACCTGAACAGTATTTTGCAAAATTCAGTCATAAATCTAGCATGCTCTAACTAAGCAGACATAGATCTGCTGTTAAAGAGTAGTATTAAATATTATACATGTATTTAAAAATAAACTATGTGATGTCTGTTCACGTCTTTAACCCAGCTGTGCTAGGTCACAAAAAGCCAGAGGTGGATGACAAGTTGAAATGACAACTGCTGGTGTGTATAAATGGCCTTTACTGGGCAGCTATTCTACCACTCTCTGCAGTGCTCCTTGTTAAGTTTTCCTTTGTAATAAAACAGCAATTTTAAGGTCCAGAAATATTCAGAACCCAAACAAAGATTCACATTTTGTTCCAGTAATCCCTCCCCTCTGGTATTCCAATCAAAATAACATTCCTTGCAGCTATCATAGAATCATCAGGAGCAAAACATCACATACTTTCTTTCTGTGTTAAATAATGGATTGTTTTTCCATTAATCTGCCCTCCACAAACCCCAGTAAATCACATGTGTATGATTCATTTCAATACATTCCTCCCTAAACGTTAAAGCAAAACCTACAAATTTATATTAAAAAAACAAGCCAGCAGAATAACTGCCTGCTTATTAACAGCGGATTTCAACACAAAAGAGGATTTCGAGAAGCTGTGAGAAAGTTTTTAAAAATATTTTTTTCTCTCCGAGTAGAACGGATTTTGCCACGTGAACTCATCCGAGCTCACTGCACGTATCCAGAGCTACACGAACGTCACGTCTGGCGATCAACTGGCCCTCAAGCTGGCGCTCTTTAAAAACGGCCCCGTTGCCGTGAGTATCGACGCATCACATCGCTCGTTTGTTTTCTACAGTAACGGCGTCTACTACGAACCTGCTTGTGGTGAGTGTTTTTTCTTTCCCCAGTGATTACGTTAGATACTATCCTTCACGCTCACAACAACGTAACTCGCTGGTTCTGTTTTTCAGGGAACACTGTGGATGATCTGGACCATGCTGTGCTTGCAGTGGGATATGGCACCCTGAATGGAGAGCCATACTGGCTCATCAAGAACTCTTGGTCCACATACTGGGGCAATGATGGCTACATCCTCATGTCTATGAAGGATAACAACTGTGGTGTTGCCACTGATGCTACATATGTTACACTGGCATAGACTGTGCCTTCTTTTAAAGCCTTTATGTTGCTGTTGATGCCACTTCATGACTGCTGAATTACACTTAATCTTGATGTGTGTGTTAGGCCAGCTTTATGGGAAAAAAGCCTAAGAACTTATCGTCGACTGAACTAAATTGGGAGGAGACAGCACTACAGTGTGTTGCATTGATAACAAGACAAACTGGATCATTGTGAAGTAAAAAGTGTTACGTCCCGATAATCAATTTTGTCTCTGTGATGTTAGTTTTTTTAATTGCTGCTGGAAGGCAGAATTTTTATTGAAAACAAATTTAAATAAATTTGCTGGTCCCAGGAAGTTATTAACTGTGGTTGCTTTGTCTGTTTCTACTTGGTGGCACACAAACACACACAGAACAAGTTCACTCAGTCATTAAAATTTTACTGCTCAAGGCACACTGGCTCAATGCCCTTATTTCAGATAAGTCACAAATTTCCATTCGTCCTGTACAGACAAATTATTCCTGCTATAAAAAGAAGTTGCATTTGTGCTGACATCTAACATCACATGCTGTGGCCAGCATTAAGGCGTGTCCTCTCACATCAGGCATATCAACATTTATACAATTGGTTTCTTTAATTTCTTTGCAACAGGAATTTAGTTTGTTTTTTTAAATCTACACAAATTTTTACAACAAATTGTTTTCACATTGGAACAGAAATAATAGCAAGTGTTTCATCTGACTTTACTATTTTCTTTTTTTTTTAAATTGATGGAAGGTCACAAAACTATTAAGTCATACAGGAACATGATAAAGAAATGATGCCGGAGAAATTGGAAAACTGCTCTGTTGTCAGAAATGTGAAATTCCTTTTGGAAAACATGAGTGTCATGTCCTCCCAGATAAATCCTGTCTCTTTCACGGTGTGTGAGTGCATCAGGGGCTGTGCAATTGGCAGCTTACACATCTGAAAAGGCACCATTAGTGCTGAATGACATATACATACATATGAGGGCCCAGAACGTAAAAAAAAAAAGCAGGGTGGGTATAAAACTTTGAGAAAAAACTCAAGATTTTTGACATTAAAGTGGCAAATCTGAGAGAGAACATTGAGCCTACAGTGCCTAAGACGCCTCTCATGGATTCAATCCTTCAAACCATGAGGATTGAATGCTTTAATAATCTGTTGGATTGCGTCCTGATGTACCACAACTCCTCAAGATATCAACTGTGCTGTAGTACTTCACACACAGGCTGTTACCTCATCCAAATCAGTGTGTTTTCTCCTCAATAGCAGCTCACGACAACGACTCTTTGAAGCTCAGACGCTTTTGAAAATGTGATTCTGAACTTAAATCACAAGGATTTCTTTATTGCAAAGTCCAATTGAAAAGTATAATTAAATTAGGTCATCTAAGAAAAAGGTTGTTTTTTTGTGTTATTTTTCTCATAAATTTGCCACTTTGATGTAAAACATGTTGGGGGTTTTTCCATTTTTTTCTTGGAATTTTGCCTGCAGTCCAGACCTTCCACCAACAGAAAGCAATTGGCACATCATGAAGAGAACAAGATATAAAGACTCAGGACTGATAAGCAGCTAGAATAATTTTTTTTCTCAGTTTAAATGTTTCATATTGTTTCCATATTCTATTGTGAATCAAATGTGGGTTTATGAGGTTTGCAAATCATTGCATTTTATTTCTATTTACACTTTTACAGTTGGACATGTAAATGCTTGTGCCTGAATAACAGCACAAACATACGGTGTTGTGTAAAAGTATTTGCCCGCTTCCTGACTCCCTCTTTTCTTTTTGCTCATCTGTCACAATGTTTCAGATCATTAACCAGAGTAACCAGAGTAAACGCAAAATGCAGTTTTTAAATGATGATTTCATTAAATGTGTAAAAATAAAGTCAAGAAGGGGCACAGATACTTCACAGCACTGTATGGCATCATATTGCACATTCAAGTGCATCTGATACATGAATCGAATTTCTTCTATAATTCATAACAATAACAGCCCTTGATTGCTTGTGAAGACTCATAGTTATCATTGATGCATGCTGCAGTCCATTTGTATTGGACAATAATAAAAGGAGAACAAATCTAAAAACAACAACAACAACAACAACAACAATGCTGAAATCAAATATTCTTCCACATGCTGATAACAGTCAAATCTCTTTTTTTTTCATCCAAATCTATTAAATACAGCAGTCTAACTAAAAGGCTTCATTAGTGCATGCAGTCTCACTTGACTAGTTTCATTTTTCTTGGCTTGAGACGAAGATGAGGCAGTTGCTTGCAATATAAATTTGTGCTACAACCAACCAGTGTTGGGGAGTAACGGAATACATGTACCGCCGTTACGTATTTAAAATACAAAATATGAGTAACTGTATTCC